GAAATTACATCGTCGTTGATCACCTCGACTATTACAAGAACTTCTCACTTCCTCTCTCTCTCTCTCTATCGGAGATCACACCGAAGAAGAAGAAGAAGAAACAAGGAAGACTAGCCTTGCGATGCAAAGAATGCCGGAACCTTGAAGGAAGAGCAGAATTTTTCGCGGTCTGCCAAAATCCTTTGCAATTTTTGCTGCAGTTTTCGCGTCTCACTTCCTTACCGAGAGCAAGAGTGCCGAAGAACCAAGAGGAAGTGTCGCCAAAAAGAACTCCAAAACTTGCTTCTGTTCGCGACAGGAATAGAATGGCGAAGCGATGCTTTGCATTGTGGGAAGAGGAGCTAGGAACAGGGAGAGGAACCAATTTTTTTTATTTGTTTTACCAGTCTCCACCATAATAAATCTCCCACTTTGAGACCGGTATACAAACTACAACGTCTTCTTCCTCAAACTGATATCCTCCACCTCTGCAATTCAAGGTCCCTCTCTTCAAGCCAGAAGACCAACTGAAGCTGCGCACAACTTCAGTTTCTCAAAAGTAACTCCCATAGTCAACATATCAGCAGAGTTCTTGCTTCCACAAATTTTCTCAAGCAAAAACTATTCGTCATCCAACAATGACCATATGAAGTGATACCTGATCTGAATGTGCTTAGTTTTGGACTGAAATGCTGGATTCCTGGCAAGGAATATGACGCTCTGACTATCACTGTAGAGAATGCCCTTCTGATTCTTCTTGCCTAATTCTTCCAAGAAACCCTGCAGCCATATCATCTCCTTTGCAGCCTCTGACACTGTTGTGTCACCAATACATACTCAGTTTTTGTAGTAGACAACGAAACTGTCTTTTGCATATTAGAGCCCCATGATACTGCAGTACCACCAACAGTGTAAATATAACTTATAGTACCTTTTCTTGTATCAATGTATCCAGCTAGATCAACATCAACATAGCCCTATACCTCTGAACGCTTTCCTGAGAAACACAAGCAAGTTTCTGAAGAGCCTTTAAGGTACCTCAAGATCCACTTCACTGCTTCCCAATGTTCCTTTCTTGGATTACTTATGTATCTACTAACAACTCCCATTGCATGGGCAATATCGGGTCTAGTACAAACCATAACATACACAAGTGAACCGATAGCTGAAGCATAAGGAACCTTACTTATGTGATCTCATTCCTCCTCTGACTTGGGTGACTGATTCTTGTTGAGTCTGAAGTGATTTCCCAAGGGTGTGCCAACTAATTTAGCCTTATCCGTGTTGAACCTACTAAATATATGTTTCACATACTCAGCCTAAGAGAGTCTCAACATGCCTCTGACTCTATCTCTGATAATTCTCATACTAAAGATTTGCTTTGCCCCTCCCAAATCCTTCATTGCAAAGTGCTTTGACATCTGCTCCTTCAAATTATTGATCTCATCAATACTAGCCCCTGCAATAAGCATGTCATCCACATACAGTAGTAGGATGATATAGGAATTGTCAAAATATCTGACATAGCAACAGTGATCTACCTGACATCTGCTGTACCCTGCACTGTGCATGAAATTATCAAATTTCTTGTACCACTGTCTAGGAGCTTGCTTCAGGCCATACAAATTGTTCCTCAATTTACAAACTGAGTCCTCCTTTTCCTGTGCCACCCCTTCAGGTTGGTGCATGTAGATGTCTTCTTCAAGATCCTCATGAAGAAAGTATATCTTCACATCTAACTGCTCAAGGTAGAGATCTTCAGTAGCCACCATAGACAATACCATTCTGATGGTTGTAAGCTTCACCTCAAGAGAGAAAATCTCGGAATAATCAATACCATGCTTTGCTGAAATCTTTTTACAACTAGTCTAGTCTTGTACCTCTTACTGCCATCATGCTCAGTCTTCACCCGGTACACCCAATTGTTGTGTAGTGCCTTCTCCCCTGATGGAAGTTTTGTCAACTCCCAAATCTAATTTTCTAGCAGAGAATCCTTCTCCTTCTTCATGGCAAGCTGCCAATTGCTCGAATTTTCATCTTGCAAGGTTTCTTCATAACTTTGAGGTTCTCCACCGTCTGTCAGCAGAATGTAGTTCAAAGTTGGAGAATAATGCTATGCTAACCCTTTCTGACCTGCGAACTACAACTGTAGGGGTAGACTGTTTTGAAACTGAATGGGGAACAATAGGAGATAGGAGTGGATGCCCCAGATCCACCCTCCTCGTTACTTGCATCTCTGTCCTGCACTGTGACCTCAGATAAATCATCAAATCTTACCAACTCAGATTCTTACAGTGCTATTTTAGAAACTGTACTGAACTTGTCCTTGTACATAATCTTTTTATTGAAAATAACGTTCCTGCTCCTTATGATCTTCCGACTCTGATCATCCCAGAAACGATATCCAAATGCCTCATCTTCATAGCCAATAAAATAACACTTCTTTGACTTAGCGTCAAGCTTACTTCGAGCATCAGAGTTAATGAAAACATAAGAAAGACATCCAAAATTCTCTCCAATGCTGACTACTTCTGAGATTTCTGCATTACCTGAAGAGGTCTGGAAGTGTAATGTCAATATCTCCCATTCCTACCACATTCAAAGCCTCTCCATCTGCCAGATATACTTTCCCAAAGTCACCTACAACATAATTTCGCATCAATTCCCGATGAAAAGTTATATGGAAAGAAACCCCTGAATTCAATATCTAGTCATCAACAGAACTATGAACTGCCATCAATAGTGTATCATGTGATTCTTCAGTTAACACATTTGCACTGTCATTCTCCATCTTCTTGAGATTTATGCAGTTCCTTTTTATGTGGCCAGTTTTGCCACAATTCCACCAAGTTACTTGTTTACCAAACATTGAATTGCTCATGCTTATGTTCTTTGATTTTGATCTTCCCCTATTTGAGTTCTTGTTCTGTGTTCTCTCTCTGGAATTAACATTTAATGTCGAACTCGAAACTGAGATTTTGCCAGAATCTTTCTTGCACATCTTCTTAGCCAAAATCAAATCTCGAATATCATCGTATTTCAGTTTTGATTTACCTGCAAAATTACTGACAGCCATCCTTATGGTTTCACAACTATTTGACAATGAAACCAACAAGATCAGTGCACATATCTCATCATCAAATTCAATTTCTACAGACGATAATTTATTTGTGATGGTATTAAAATCATTCAGGTGTTGTACAATAGACGTATCTTCCGCCATCTTCAAATTGAATAATTTATTCATCAGATATGTCTTATTATTCGCCGATGGCTATCATAAGATCTGCAGTATGCCTCTCCTTGACTACGTTGTGTGCAACAGACTTCGATAAGGTTAATTAAATAACCCCCAGAACCTGTCGATTCAACAGATTCCATTCAGCCTCATCCATCCTTTCAGGTTTTTTCCCTAATAACGGAAGATGAAATTTCTTTCGAGACCTCTATCTGCATCCTCCAATAACCAAAATATGTGTCATCAAATTTCTCGATCCTTGAAACCTTTACTTCATCTGTAACCATTGACTCGAATACCAGTTGTTGTGGTATATTGAAATAGAACGATCGACGACGAAGCGAAACGACGAAGCGAAAAATAGAACGAGAAAATTTACACTCGAAAAGAACGCACAAATTTACGTGGTTCGGCAATTTTTTCCTACATCCACGGAATTGCAAATGATTTTATTACTTACACCATCGTCGATCACCTCGACAAGAACTTCTCACTTCCTCTCTCTCTCTATCTCTATCGGAGATCACACCGAAGAAGAAGAAGAAAAGAGGAAGACTAGCCTTGCGATGCAACCTTCTTCTTCCTCCGTTTGCAAGAATGTCGAAACCTTGAAGGAAGAGCAGAATTTTTCGTGGCCCGCCAAAATCCGTTTGTGATTCTTGCTGCAGTTTTCGCATCTCACTTCCTTGCCGAGGGCAAGAGTGCCGAAGAACCAAGAGGAAGTGTCGCCAAAAAGAACTCCAAAACTTGCTTCTATTCGCGACAGGAATAGAATGGCGAAGCGTTGCCTTGCATCGTGGGAAGAAGAGGCGTGAACAAGGAGTGGAAACAGTTTTTTTTTATTTTTTTAATTTTTATTTGTTTTACTGGCTCCACAACACTTGTCATCGCTCCAATCCTTGGGCATGTGTCATTGTACATATTTGGATTCAACGACCTCTTTATTCCTTTTCAAGAGGGAGACTTATGTAAGCATTTTTGGGTTATTTTCATCCTGCTCAATTTAGACTTTCGGGAATATTAGAAATGGAATATTTTTATTCTTTGGTTCAACATAATCTCTCTTGCATACTTCAAGTTTTTCAGTTCAAATGGCAAGAAGTTCATTATTAGAGATCATTTTTTAGCTCTTCAGCTACCTGAAATTATTCTTGAGCTCTATTAATTTTTTCTGGAACTTTCTCAATTTGTGCCTTTTTGTTTTATTATAGGGTTCATCCCAGCTTTATAACAAAAGAAGAGTAGAGTGCTAAAATAGTTTTCTGACTATTTACACTGGGTCATTTTAACCCTAAAGTTTATAAAAGTGCTAATTAATCCCGTGATTTTTTCCCCGAACTGTTTTCATGGGGGACAAAGCAGTCCTCAATTCGGAACGTTTCAACACATCAAAAAAATTAGGGACTAAATCGATACGTTTATAAATTATGGGACTAAAGTTTCCCCCCGCAAAGAGTTAACATACCATTTTTACACTTTTCTCAATAAAAAAAAATTTGAATGAAAGAAAAAATGCTACATCGCCAGAGAAAAGTTTCTTCTATGAACTTAAAGCAAAATCATTTCATTATTTGTCTAAAACTTCTAAGAGGCAGCTTTATTACATGGTTATCATTTTCAATCAATCAGAATCTCACTTTATATCTACATGTAATGTCTTGTAACTGGAAATTCTCAACTTTTTTGGTTATCTGAATTTGCGGATACATATTTTTTTTTGTATTTTAATGTATACATAAAAATACTTTGTATTTTAATTCCTATATTACAATTTTGCATCCAGGAAAGATGGTGAAAGGAACTTCAGTTTCTGGTCTGTTGTCCTTGGAAGAGTTGTGTTTAGTGCTCTGGGCATTATAATGTCAACAATAGTGGTCTATACCTTAGTTACAGATGGTTCGCCTTTCCGCAAAGAATTGTTGACACCGTAAGCATCCGACTTTTCTCTTTCTTATATTTAGTCCAGATCGATTCCAGATGTCATTCATCAATATTTTATTTGACTGTGTTCAATATTGTTTTGCAATTAGTGTTAGTTTTTATGTTGCCAATCATAGAAATTGACAATCTTATGTAGATGGAATTAGAGTAACCACAGAAAATGAAGTGTGCTATATGAGATTTAAACTCAAGATGTTTAGACGGTAAGTCATATTTTACTTGCACACAAACGAATAGCGTGACATCTTTGAAATTGTCCATGTTGCATTAAAATATCAAAAAAGTTACGAAAGTGTATAAAAAACAACGCCCTACGGGTGTCAAGAAAGCTACATGTTTCATGTTCAACAAGAGAGAAAAGATGATGAATATCATGCCCCTGCTTAAACACAAAATTACCCTGCAATGCATGCTGAGCACAAAAATGGGCAGTTTTGTTACAGGATCTAGGTATAAAAGTAATACGAACCTATCTGAAGTCCAAAAGGAAGGCGAGATCGGGGCTATGCTCTGGTTGTTGCCTCCAAAAATGTTTATTCATGCTATGGTGGAGAAAGTCCACCGGGTTCTTGCAATCACCTTCAAAGATAATACCGCGCATCTCAAACATCCCGGCCAATTAATGATGAAAAGGAATGCCTCCAGCTCAACCTGGGGACAATCCAGTGCTCCCAACTTTTACCGGCCGCCAGCAAACATTCTCCCATTTCATTACAAGTTATCATGCCAAGCCCCGCAGAATATGTAGGAAGAAGTGCCCCACCAAATTAACCTTTAGCCAAGGGGGTGGGGGGTAGGGGTGTTATGAAGAAAAGTGCAACAGCCTAGCTGGTTGAGGAGTGCCCCGTTTTCCTCCAAATCATGTAGAGATGAGTAGAGGAGACAGCTTCAAGAACAGTGGCCCCAATTATTGTTGGAGTACCAAAAGGTTTGCTATATTTTTTGGCATTCCTAGCCCGCGAACATTGATAAACAACGTTGCAGTAGACAAGGACATGGGCGTGGGTGAGGATAGTAAGCTTATTCAAAGCATTATGAGTTTCCTTCCAGTTGGCAAAAAGAGAGGAACAACCACTCCACATTTGTTGAGCATAGCAATCACAGCAGTAAGCACTTTCAGTTTGTGCAGATGTGTGAAGTATCTTCAATATGAAGGCAGCCCCATGGGCATTCTTGCTACTCCTCGATCTTGTGTTTAAACAGCCAATTGTTGGTTGGAAGGGCATTTTTAGCTAATCTCTATCAAAATAGATGTTGACGCGCGTGTGTGTAGCTTTAAGTGTTGCAGCCAATTAAAATCATTATTGGAGCACCAAACAGGGCAGCATAAGAGATGGAAGTAATGGTGTGCCCCGACCTGAAGGAGATAAGCTCTGGTTGGTCCTCATGACGAGAGTGATCCGGCTTGATTTCAGATGTTCTGTGCACTAAATTCCGACGAAAGAGTTACTGTAGCAGATCACATTCCATCCGCCGTTAAGGCGCAGGTGAGCCACCTTAACATCCTCTACTCCACAGCAATGAACAAAGACAGGCCAGTGAGATATAGGATGGTCAGGATCCAAACTTGTTCAAACACCAAAATGAAATTCCCAGTTCCAAGTTTCCAGCTCATGATTAACAGGAGGTTCATGGCCACGTCGGTGAGGATCCTCCAAGCAGTGAGTCCCTACGTGAGGGGTTGTTGTAGCCAGTGAGCATACCATACTTACTAACGATGCTCTTGTGGAATAAAGAATTGGGATTCTGATATGAATCTTATGCCAGACGTACCCAAAGTGGCCCGCTTCATCACCCAACTTCATGAAACCGAAGGGCCTCATCCTGTAGGGGGAGGCACAACTCCTTCCTGTCCTAATGCAGACCATGGCGATCTGAGCCCTTGTTCCACAGAAAATTTCTTCTTTTCTGTTCCAGTTCCAAGAAAATTCTTTTGGGGGCTAAAGTATGAGTAAATAGGTATTTTGAGAGGGTAAGTAAGGAGGACTGGATTAAAGTACTCTGCCTGCTAGAGACAATAATCTATTGCCCCAATCATTAATTTTATTACTCGCATTTTGGTGAATTTTTCCAAAGTCAGCCAATGAGAGCTTCCTCATAGCAAGTGGGATGCCCAGGTACTCAATCTTTTCCGTTTTATGATAATTGAAAGTTCTTGCGATATGATTTTTCTTCCACCCAATAGTTTTGCGGCTAAACTCAATGGAAGATTTAACTTGGTTGATTTTTTCCCTTGTCCACATACAATAATCCTGTAGAATTTTGGTTAAATCTTTAGCAGCCACCATAGAAGCGTGAGAGAAAAGAAGAACGTCATCTAAGTATAGGAGATGCGAGAGTCGGCCCATTTGGAGCAGAATTTATCCCCATGTGTTTTTCTCTCTGTTTAAGTGTTAAAGAAAGTAACCCGGAGCGAAGAATAAAAAGATAAGGCGATAATTGCCGGATGCCGCAATCCGCACTGATCCAAACTGACCGTTTCCCATCAACCAGGAGGCAGAATTTTGGTTCCATGATACATTGTATAACCCAGGTGGAAAAATTAATGTGGAAGTTGAAGAGCTTACATATCTCCCCAAGACTCTTACAACACATTGTCATAAGTTTGCTCCATATCAATTTTGAGAGCCATAAATCCCGCAGTGGACGACGAGTTCTTAAATTTATTGAACACCTCTTGAGCAAGGAGGCAGTGTTTCGAGATGGATCTCCTGGGAACGAAGGCCGCTTGTTCTTCCGAGATGATACTAGGCAAGATGCTTTTAAGTCTTTCTACTAATAATTTGGTGATAATTTTATAGATTGATTGACAAAGACTAATAGGTCGGAATTAAGAAGGCATGTCAGCTCCCTCACATTTAGGGAGAAGGACAATGAGAGTTCCTTTCCATTCAAGAGGTATGTTGTTGGTAGGAAAGAAGTCCTTCACCACTAAAAAAAAATCAGTACCCACAATGAACCAGTAGCATTTAAGGAAGGAGGCTGTAATTCCATCAAGGCCCAGGGAATGATTGGGACCCTTGCTGTTTACCACTGCCCAGACTTCTTCCATCGTAACCTTGATATCCAAGGCATTATGAAGTGCTGCCAAAACACCAAATTGGTCCCCAACCAAGGCCTAACTATCCATGCGTATGTGCTTTGAACACCATTTGAGCTGAATGAAATTCATAACCTATTTTTTAATGCTCAATGGATCTTCAGTATGCACGCCCAAATCAATTCTTAATAGCAACAATGCGATTACTTCGACGTTGAGAAGGTGCAACAATATCAAAATGGGAATTTGCATCACCTTCATTAATTCATCTCACCTTGGCCTTTTGTCTCCACCAATCAGTTATGTGAGAAAGAGTTGTATTTAATTCAACTATTTTACTTATAAGTTTTGTTTCTTCATCCAGAGTAAACCTAGTAATCAGGCAGTTTTTGTTTTGAAGGTCAAGGAGCTCAGCGTACAACCGACATTTGACATCCAGACGTCTGGAATGAGCGACGATGATAGGTAGAACAGTATGGTATGCGATTCGGGGTTGGAGAAGATCGATTCGAAAGATTTCAACCTGAAACAGGGAACTACGGTGAGTGCGACCCCGATGAAGGGCTTCATTCAACCGAATTGGTTCCTTTTGTTAGGACAGTCTTATGGGTGGATGGTGATTCAGGAGCCTATGGGGATGGGCGAGCTGATTATGGGGTTAGAAAGACTTGTGGATGAAGAATATGAGTCAGGGATGGAAACTCAACCGCCTCTTAATGAGTGGAATGAACTTCGGTCAAAGAAATTGGGGAAGACTTGCGCACAAAGAAACTAAAAATGTCGATCTTTGAAGGACAAGTGCCTATGATTTGGTTATCACATAATGAGATACTTTGTTGTTAATGGAAAACAAAGGGAAAAAAATTGATGGCGGCGGCTCTGTGTTTGGAATGAAAGACTCTAACATGATATCAATGAAGAGAATAAGGTCAATCAATCAGAACATTAGAAAAATTCAAAGACCATTTGTTGGAGAATTTCAAAACCATGCAGGAAGGAGATTTACACAAGTAGTTGTTTGAATTGGTCCAAGAAGGATTCTTAATGGGCTACAAGGACATATTTGAGATATTATTCTACTGTTTGAGAGGGATATCAGAAATAGTATTGGAAGGAAGCTTGATGAAGGGTTTGAAGCTAGAGATTAAGAGCAACACTTTGTCTATTGAGACCATGAACATCGAGGAAAATTATAAAATTACCGCAGTTGGTTGAAGATAAAAATGTAATGGAATAGGCTAAAATGAGCAGTACAAGTGGAGCATTATACATTAAAATAATATATTATTTTAAGTACATATTTTATGCTTATTTTTTGTGATATTGCACTTTAAAGAAGGGTATTTTCATGTTTTTATTGTAGGTATATCATTTTTAGGCATTTAGAGTAAAAATGACAAAAAAGACGAAAATTGGAGCCAAAACAGCGAATTTCATGCGCCAGATCGGCGCATGATGCGCCGTTTGACAGAGAACTGGTGCATGATGTGCCAGATTGACGCACGATGCGCCAGAGATGACTTTTTTGCAAATTAAAGCGGTTCGAGATGTATTTTGCCGAATTTTCACAGGGACACTTATTCTACACACCTATTGGAGTAATTCAATGCATCTAGACACTTTGAAAGGTTCTTTTATGAAGGGATGTCTCTTGGATCAAATGACATATTTTTTGAATTTAAAAGAGTTGAATTTTGGAGGGAACTTTTGAAGGGAATTTGAAATTCTTTTCAAAGGAGGCAACCTAAAAATAAAAGAGAAGACGACAAAGGGAGAGAAAGTTGGCGTGAGAGGCAAGAGGAGAGAAGAGGAGATTTTCTTCTAGGGTTGTAAGAAGAGATGGAAGGTGAGAGATTTCTTCTTCATTACACTTCTAAGAGAGAAGTGAGTGAGATTGTAAAGAGAGAAAGACTTGGAGATAACTTCTAGGAATTTGCTTGAGAAGG